ATCTCTCTTGCCTCCTCCACCCTCATTTATTGGTTTCATTTCTTATCTGTGAAATTTTTAAATTTGACCTTGTTGTCCTAGCAGACAAATATCACATAGAGACACTAACAGTCCCTGGCTGTGTCTATGAAGCCACAGGGTTGGGAGGCTGAGCAGCTGTGGATTCACACAGGTTAGACAGAGATGTGGTGAAGCCCTGCACTAGGGCGGGATCCTTCCATCCCGGGTCCTCTGCTGGGCACCTGGGTCACCAAGGGTGCTGGGGCAGGCAATGATTGATTTTGTTGCCAACCTCAAAGACCAAGGATGTAACCTCAAGCATCCTATGTTCTTTTAATAACTATTAGAAGTCTGTCATCCATGACTTTGTTTAAATCTTTTTGAAGCTATTTTTACTTTTAGTGAATCAGAGCCTCTTTTGTAATGAGTTCAGTGATTTTACAACCTGCCACCCTGAATCCTGTCACCTGGGTAAACTACAGTGGCTGGCTTTATCACCAAGATTCACACACGAATGTCTCAACTAGCCTCACTTCTCCTTGGGCATTTCTGGCAAAACCAGAGTCACCAAAAATGGCTGCAACCCCCTCGATTCACATGTCTTGTACCTATGGTCCCCAATTTTCTGTCACTCTTTGCTGTATGGTCTTCAAAACTTTTATCTACAGGATAATTTTAAGACTGCTTTATTTGCAGGATCCAGATAAATAAAACCTTAGATAGTCTTGAGAGAGTTTTTTTGTGTGTTTGTTTTGGTTTTTGTTTTCTTTTTAGGATTTTTTTTTTTTTTTGCGGTACGGGGGCCTCTTACTGTTGTGGCCTCTCCTGTTCCGGAGCACAGGCTCTGGATGCGCAGGCTCAGCGGCCATGGCTCACGGGCCCAGCCGCTCCGCGGCATGTGGGATCTTCCCGGACCGGGGCACGAACCCCTGTCCCCTGCATAGGCAGGCGGACTCTCAACCACTGCGCCACCAGGGAAGCCCCTTTAGGATTGTTTTAATTTCTTTTGAAGGGTCCAGAAAAATAATGTGTAGTGACGGAACAGCCCTCCACATATACAGACACCTCCTGCTGACAATTCTAGGGGTGTACACATGGAGCTTTAAGGTTCAAAGTCTTAGTAAGCAAGAGCTCTTTAAGATCTAGTCTCTACCCACCTTATCAGCCTCTTCTCCTGTCTCTATAAACTGCACCCGTGAGCTACATTGAGTTATTTGTTTGCCATTCCTGGAAAAACCATGCTTCTTAAGCCTCCATGCCTTGGCATATGCTGTTCTTTCTGCCTAGAATTACCTTCGTGACCTGTTAAATAGAACAGTTCAAGATCTAACTTCCTCATGAAATCCTATTCCAGATCCTTAGATGTCACATGAGTCAAACTGTAATCCCATTGAACTTTGCTCAAACCTTTATTTTAATAGGTTTTAGAATTCATTGTAATTTTCTTGTTAGGTGCCCATCTATCTATTCTAGACTATTAGTTCTTCCAGAGCAGAGATAACATCTTCTTCTTATAATTAGCAACCTACTTTATCCTGGGCCACGATGGGTAATACAGTGAATATCTGCTGAAAACATGAATGAGTGAGAGAGTAGATGAAGGAGTAGGGTGGGGAGAGGATTTCTATGAATAAACCAGCTCACTCATGTACACATACACACACACACATCACACACATACGCACACATACAGGTCCAGGTAAACCGAAGCACAAAGCAGAGTCTGGATAAAGCTGCAGGTATAACTTCTCTGTCTCCCGGAATCATCCATTTGTAATTTTTTGTATTAATGTCCTTGACCAACTTTCTTCCTTGTCTGAAAGTCACGACTGCTTGTTGATACTTCTGTCCTGGTACATTAACCTAGATTTTCATAAGGGAATTCATTTTAACTTTCACTGGCCTAGGATTTGGTTGTTCGACTTCAAAAGAATGTTCAGCTACTTTAATGTATGCAATATAGAATACTAAGTGAAAAACATAAATACCCATACAAGCTGTTCACCTCTCCCTCCCGGACCATTAAATAAAATATTCAGGAAAATCAGGCCTACCACTGATTTCTCCGTAATACCCCAGTACGTGTCATTAGTTAGCAATCTGTACTTTTCAAGTGACAGTCTTCACGTTCAAATCAATTTTCATTAATTTTGTAAGAATCATTTAAAGAAACGTGGCATCCGATCCCTGATTTAAATCAAGATGTATGAATGTTCTACTTTTCATTTATCTTGTCATTTTATGAGGAAGATGCAGTCCTTTGTCTGGCACTTTTTTATATACATGTAAACATGCTGCTTATCACTCCTGGTTCCATTATTCTCATGACAGTCACTTTTTTTCCCCTCCTAACAGTTGCTCCATTATTTTATTAGTGTCCAAAATGAGACCTTATAGACAGTGATGATCGGAGAATAATGGAAATTAGAGATGGAAATGATAGATTAGGTCTCCTTGTCTGTTTCCTGGGGCTAATGTTCCTGTCAGTCTCTAACTCAGGGCTCTAGCCTGTCTTATTTTAAATGACACCAACGTGGGGCCTCCACCATTTCCCTGGAGGCTCTTGTCTACATCCAAGACTGTCTCTACACACAGCCAGAGGGAATGATGAAGCCTTGTGCAATTACCCAGTGAAGTCAGGCCCATCGTCACATGATCTGTCTACAAGGCAAGGGATGTGGAGGCTTGAGCGATTAGCCACCAAATCCAATCACTGCAGAGAGCCAGCCTGGATCATTCAGGGCACAAAAGTGAAATGATTTTTTGTCATTGTTTACTTCAGCAGCAGGTATGCAGGCTAAGAGACAGAGAGCTGGTTATCCATCACCTTTTCCAATATTTTACTCAATATGAATCACAGTCAACTGAGATTTTCGGCCAGCACATAAGCTAAAATCTTGGCTCCTTGGCAACTATGCAAACATGTCAGAGGGCAGAGAGTAAGGGGACTGAACTGACTTTACATAGCCATAGCAAATGGCACTCTTTATTCAAACTCCACTTGGCATCTATAAGCCAAGTTCTCTGCCCTTCCCACCAATCTTTCAACAACCGGCCACCTCATATGCATTTACCCTTCTCCAAACATCTTCCTCTACACTTTGTGGACTGTCTCCCTGATAAGATCACAAATTCAGTGGAAAAACGGAGCCATCCTTCATTTTCACTAACAGAAAAATTTCATGGCATTTTGACTTCCCCCAAGTTTTCTGACCTGTGACTCAGATTTCCTTTCCTTAACTTCATTCTCTCTTGTCCTTATCCCTCAACTTCAACCTGTTCCAGCACATCTGCCCTCTTCAAACATCTACAGGCATCTTTCATTCCATGACTTAGTTATCAGCTGGTCAAGTTCTCTGAGTGGGGTTCTTCTTCCCCTTCATCATAAATCACTCCTTTGGGCTCTTCAATCATTTTTATTGCTCTTCTCCAAACTCTCACCCATTTTTCTCCATATTTATTGCTTTGAGAGTCCAGAACCACATTCAGTATTCTAGGCTTGGGCTCCTCCGAATCATAGAGAGGAGGTTGAGCATCGAACTCAGGGCTAGGAGTCCTCCTTGGTGCCATGGGAAGGGATGGTGATTTCTGTTCTCCACCTTGCCAGGCCACAAACACATTTCCACTCCACAGTCTAAGCAATCACTCCGAGATGGCTTTTCTTTTTTTTTTGTGGTACGCGGGCCTCTCACTGTTGTGGCTTCTCCCGTTGCGGAGCGCAGGCTCAGCGGCCATGGCTCACGGGCCCAGCCGCTCCGCGGCATGTAGGATCTTCCCAGACCGGGGCACGAACCCATGTCCCCTGCATCGGCAGGCGGACTCTCAACCACTACACCACCAGGGAAGCCCCGACCACTGTACCACCAGGGAAGCCCCGAGGTGGCTTTTGCCTTGATTTCTTTCTAGTTTCCCCTGTCCCATTGATTGCTATTATTAGTTAGCATTCATTGATCCCTGTCTTCCCACACCCTCCTCCACAACCCAGCCAAGGCAGAAAGTAATCTCTCAGCACCCAAAACAAAGTAGGAAGTTGCTTTTAAAAGGCGATAGAAGGGCTTCCCTGGTGGCGCAGTGGTTGAGAGTTCGCCTGCCGATGCAGGGGACACGGGTTCGTACCCCGGTCCGGGAAGATCCCACATGCCGCGGAGCGGCTGGGCCCGTGAGCCATGGCCGCTGAGCCTGCGCATCCGGAGCCTGTGCTCCGCAATGGGAGAGGCCATAACAGTGAGAGGCCCTCGTAATGCCAAAAAAAAAAAGGCAATAGAAGATGGATAGTGGTGATGGTGGCACAACGATGTGAATGTGCTTAATGCCACTGAACTGTACACCTAAGAATGGTGAAAATGATCATTTTTATCTTATGTATATTTTTTCTCCATGAAAAAATTCAAAAAAAGTAAAATGAATAAAATATAAAGCAATAGACAAGGTAACTATCTTATCCCAGTTGTCTGTGCTTGGGGAAAAGCAAAGATCTTAAAAGAAATGGTAATTGGAGATCAGGTGAAAATCCTTTGACTCAATGCCAAGCACTCCCTGAGTCGTTGCATTTCACCCTCTCTGACAGTACTGGTGAAAACAAGTTTCCACTCATATCAGTCTTGCAAAGCTCGTTGAGCTCTGGGAGAGCTACACTGGAGTGTGTGCGACTTCACGTGTCTCCAACAAAATCATCAGCTAAGTTCTATCTGTGGAATCCTCGTGGCTGATGGCAGTGTGAAAAGGAAGAGAGGGACAGCTTGATTCCCAGATCCCAGCTGGAGGCTTGGGGCTGCGAGTCAGAGGCATCACCTCTGAACTCGTAAATGGAGAGGAAGATGAGATGGACACCACTGGGATGGTGTAAACATGGAAACGCACAGTGACACGTTCATCCGTTTGCTGTTCAGAATAGAACCACCCTTTAGCTCTGTCCCTCTCCACACAATTGCTCCACGTCACGTCTGCGTGAGGGAGTGGTGACGTCCGGGAACTGGCTAACTCGCCGTCCCCTCACTTACCCTTGGTTGGTTCCCCATTCATTCCGAATGCAAAGATGCTTGTGCACTGGATCCTTCATGTAACCCTCGTAGCAGAGGCATTCCCCTTAGAAGCAGGGTGAGGAAGAAGAAAAAGAAACAAGAAGAAATTGATTAACATGTCTGTGTTGGAGAAAATTAATATGAAATGATCACATCAAACTAACACTGGCACGGATGAGACCATAAATCCTATTATACCATACACGCCCATCTCCACTGCCCACGTGAAGGAACACACCACCAATCTCTCCATTTTCACTATGTGATAACTTTCACTGGTTGAGGACACTAACGTTTACAAAGCACCTATTACATGGGCTCTGCAGACACAAAGTCCAAGAACTCTTTGAGCAAAGGGACTCCTTCGTTGTTATTTTCTCAGTGGCCAGTATACTGCAAGACACATATTAGATGATCAACACATGTTTGAAGGCCACATAAGTGAGTTATTTCATCAAATGTTTCTAAGAAATTTGAAAAGTACATATGATTAGCCATGCTATCCTGATGAGGGAAATCGAGGCTCAGAAGAATTAAGGGATCTAGAGACAGATTTAAATGGCAGAGTTAATAGTTGAACCTATGTCTGTCTGACTCCAGACCTTTTTTCCCAACCAGGCCATGCTGCTAGCCCAAGAACAACTGCTGTATTTAGAGGAGGCCACTTATACCTATCATAGTTTTATAAGAACTCTGGGTTTTTATTTTTAAGTGAAAATGGCTCATTATCTTGGTGCTGATAAACAGAAGAATCATCTATGTTTGTTTAGGATATCACTATGTTTCATTATCATTACTTACTTCAACAGTGTACCAAGAGGTCCACGACCCCTCTGGAGTCGTATGTGAAACTGTACATATGTGTATGTGCATCTTTCCTCAGCAGGCCTCCATAACATTCATCAGATTTATAAGCAAATCCAAGACCCCCAAAAGATTAAGAAGCATTGCTCTACTTAGTCTGACTTTGAAGAAAATTGTAACTGCTTCCTTATATTAATAATTCCTTAGGCAATGCTATGTATCCCTAAGCTACTGAGATCAGTTCCACTGAAGCACCGGTATTGTCTTTTTCACTGGCTGGTTATTTAATTTACAGGTAGTGAAAGAACAGAGTGTGACTTCCTAAAATTTGGAAGTTACAAAGGTGCCAGACCCTAGGGAGACAAAGGATAAGGTTTCTTTATCTTCCTGGGAAGAAACACTCAAAAAGGATATAGATGGAATAATAGCTTTGAGAGCTATTTTCTCTTTTCAAAGACAAAAAACAATAAAAATGAAGTGAAGGGGCCTCACAGTTATGGCGGCAAGGACTGGGTAGGCTCTGAGCAAGAAGTTTTTGTTAGGATCTAAGTGCATCCGTTCTTGTTGAGACTGACCTATAAGCTACTGTCCATCAGGGTCTCACTAACAGATAACACTCGTCTTCCTCTCCAACACCTGCTCAGTCAAGGTGCTGAGGAGTGGAGTAGAAATGAGTAACTTAGTTTGGGAGGGATCCACAGGGAGTGTTAGATCAGTATTTTGCCTCCTGTATGACAAACTCAAGCTTCCTTGCGGGCTACATTCACAATAGGGTGAAACTTATTGGCTTCAGTGGTGCTGAGCTGTATCTAGGAGCGGTCTGGGAGCTGGGAGTCGAACATAGGAAAACACAGCTTCGGTAGCTGATGATAAGGCTTTCAGGGGAAGGCTGTTTCTCTGATAGAAGGAAAGATAACGAGGGCAAGGACCAGAGGCGGGCAAAAGAAGCGAAGTACCAGGAGCCAGGCTTCATACCGTATCAATTCCAAAGAAAGCATGGACTCTAGGCTATAAGCTACACAAGAGCAGGAACAAGCTAGATTTTCCTATATGTGAGGAGACCTTTTATAAATACTGTGTAATGGAAAATAAACAAATAAAGAGTGTGTCCCAAATTTATAGATACCATCACCACCACCTCTCCCCAAGGTGCCAATATCAAGCCAACTAATGGGTCAAGGACCCAGAAATGATTCGCCCTTAAGGAGATCATCTTTCAATTTCCTTGTGGACATTAGGCATGGATATGATATTACAAAACAGGAAGGAATCTCAAGAGGTTGTCAAACCCATCAGTCTGACTCTTACAATGTTCTTAACTGGATGGCTTTGACAAAAAAGGTAGTCCACCTTCCACACCCGATATCTAGTTACCACAACACATGTAAAAGTAAATGCAGTAACAACTCAGAGCTCGAGCAGAGCTTGATTTTCCTAATGCTGGCAATATCTACCATTTGTACCTTTCTCAATTGCCTTCACAGTCATTATCCCCTGATGAGATTTCCATCATTCATTACTACGTGGGGACACACTACTGACAAGAAGTAAAGCTTTCCTCCATATAATGTTATACGCAGCCCGGAGTCAGAGCAACAGAGACATTTTTCAAACATATCATGTTAGAGTTTGAGGATTTCCAAAATTCGTCTCTTAAATCATCCTCATTTCCGGAACTCACCAAACTTCCCTCTTCTGTATTCCTCCTCAAAACCAGTCTGGCCATCTACATTGAAAGGAGTTCAGACTTGATGAGGGAAGTTGCTATGGCAACCAACTGCTAAATCTTGACTTTAAGAGGGGTTTCGTGCAAGCACAGGCTCTGACTGTTAGCTGTGAATTTTAAAGACCCCACAAGGGTGTTGGATGCCCTCCTAAGCTAGAAGTGTTACAGTCTCTGCATCTGCTGTGACAGATGGCAGGGAACACATGACGTGCCGACTCTGTGGTGGTGCTCATAGGAATCCAACAGAGAGACGTGTCACGGCCACAGAGAAGTGCCCAACTGGGATGGAGCGTGCCCTGCAGGAGGCACTCACAGACAACTACACTGCCAGAGAGTAGAAGCCCACCCAAGAGATGATCTGTGCAGGGCCTGGAGATGCCTACACTGGATCTGTGCTCGGTACTCTGGAGGCAGATGCTAACAGGCAGTGCCTTCCAGTCATTTCCCATTCCACAGATGGATGGAGGCACGCATCTCATCGAACGACTGAAGAAAGACCTTGAAGCTAGGGCTCCTCAGACATGACTGGGCTCACAGACATAACTACAGATCAAGGCCAAAAGTCCTGATCACCTCCATCCTTCAGGTAGCAGTTGGCTTTTATTAAAGTCAACTGGGTACGCTTCATCCAAAAAGGGAAATCTTTGTCAGACATCTGGGCTTGAATAATATCTAATTGCCTGGTCTCCTCTCCTGGGCAGACATCAGGCAAGAGGTAGGCTCAAACAACCCCACACAACTCTGGGAGGGCAGACAGAGGGAAATAGGCCAAAAGTACACCTTGAAGGCAGGTGCTTTAATTGAGCCACAAAAGAGAGTTTGGGATGAGTGGGCAATCCAGGTGGCAGGAACAAAATGGGAGCTGTGCTACCCCACCTAACTAGGTTCTAAAAACCAGGGAAGACTAGAGAAAGAGAGAGAGGCCCTTATTCAGAGTAAGGAAAGGGGAGGAGGGCTAGAGTGAGTCTGCAAAACTGGTCCAATGCCCCTCACCAGATTTTACACATTTCTTCATGGTTGGGACCAGCCTATGGAAAGATGTGGGACAGAAGGAATTTCAGTGACCATCTTGGATGGTGATTAAAACTTGATTTAGCTTGAAGTGCATGCTCCTTGCAGACTCATAAAAGCTACATACCTTGAAAAGGGCAGTGAGGATCTGTGGCCAGAACTGAAGGGGGCTGTGAAATCAAGCAGGTGTGTGAAGCCTCCACAGCTGCCCATATGGCGGAATAAAGGCCAGGAATGCAGCAGAAAGAGAAGTTGCTGAGGCCAGTTAGTCTGTGTTGCCCTCAGGAAACAAGCCAACATACAACCACCACAAAAACCCTTAGAAAGTACAGGAAAAGTCAACCCCTGGCTGGATCCATCCGGGCATTAAGCATTACAATTTCAGTGGTTTGCTGTTAGCCCCACGTGACCAGAGACACACCCAGGGTTACTAACCTAGGATGATCTGAGAGAGGATGTCAGTGTGCAGTTGGCAGAGGGCTTCCGGGCTAAGGGCTTTAGGTACATTACGTCCCTCCCAGATAGCACGTTGCTAGACTGCAAAAGGGAGGCTGGAGTGGAAAATGGTCTCAAGTCTTCTTCCAGCTCCAGTCCTTCCGTAGATTCCTGACACATCCGCAGAAGGTCTGGGCAGCCACCTTCTATAAACTGTGCCAGGGTGATTGATATAAAGAGGGCATAACAATGCTTATTTTTCTTCTGTCCTTTTTCTCCTTCCCTAGTGTGTCAGTTTTCTATAGCTGCCATAAAAAATTATCACAAACTCAGTGGTTTAAAAGAACAGAAATATATTATCTTGCAGTTCTGCTGGTCAGAAATCTGATACGAGTCTCACTGGGCTAAAAACCAGATGTCTGTAGCGCTATGCTCCTTTCTGGAGACTTGAGGGGAGAATCTGTTTCCTTGCCTTTTCCACCTTCTGGAGGATGCCCACATTCACTGGTTCCTCAACCTTCAAATCCAGCAATGGCTGGTGGAGTCCTTTTCATGTCGTATCACTCTGGCCTCTTCTGCCCCTCTCTTCCACTGTTAAGCACCCTTGTGATTACATTGGGCCCACCTGGTTAATCCAGATACTCCCCTTATTTTAAGATCAGTTGTCTAGCAACCTTAATACCATCTGCAACTTGCATTCCTCTTTGCCAGGTAACGTGACATTTTCACAGGTTCTGGGGATTAGGTCGTGAACATCTTCGGGGGCCCATTAAGCCTCCTATCATACCTGGTACTCTGGACCTCTGTGCAGGTGACGAGTAAACACACACTTAAGTTTGAAACACGTTGGAAGGATGCCTGAGGAGAGCTTCAGGCACTGGAGGGTGCTCCTTTGCAGTGACTGAGTGCCTGTTTGTGTGTTTGTTTGCATGTGTGAAAAAGTATACACGTGCACTTGCACAGTTCCACCCATCCATGTGGGCAGACCCCTCGGCATGGCTGGGAAAGCACATGTCCTAACACCATGACATTTCCAAGTGAGTTAGCTGGAGGACTGCAAAAATAACGTCGACTTGACTTGCAGCCAATGCCCACACTCAGCTCTTTGGAGAAAGGCTTTAGGATGGAGTGTGGGAGGCGATAAAGTTTCTTACTGACGAGCATGTGGGATGGCCACATCATCCCAGGCACAGACAGAAGCAGGGCAGGAAGGGGGAGGGTTTCCAACCCCAGCATTAATGAAAATGGAAGTCCCTGCAGTATCATTTCTCAGCGGCTACCCCGGAATGAAGATGTCGCACCTTAGTTCTGTGGTGGGTTCTTATTTTTAATCTCTCTCCCTGGCTTTCCAGTTGGAAATTCATTAATTGTCACAGACACTGGGAAGCCACTAGCAGGGGAGGGGCTTCCCAAAGTCATTTTCAGTAAGGATTAGAAATGAGATATCCAGGAGGGATTGAAGAGGTGATGGGAGCTTTGCTATGGACAAGCAGGTTCTTCAGCTTCTGGCTCAGGAAACAGTGATGCTTAGCAACGGTGATTGCTTGAATAGTGTCACAGTGACAAGTACGTTGGCTCTGACCTGTCCAGGGGAATTAAGCAACCCTTTACAATCCCACTTCTGCTCTGATTTCACGGTAGACAGAACACCGACTCTGCCTTAGGTAGCTGTGGGGCTTCGGGCAAGTCGTGTAACTTCTTGGGGAATTTGAGCATTGACCTAAAGGAAGGAGGAGTTTATCTCTAAGACCCTCCAAGCTTAAAACACCAATCCCTCTTTCCACCTGTAATTCAAAGTGCTTCCTGTTCTTTAAAAACCTCAGGTGAAGCTTCCAAGGCCTTCTGGAGATCATGCTTCTCTCAGAAGTGAGTTTAACAAGTGAGGTGGTCCAGGGTCTCCTAATCCAAGTCAGAGGGGAGACTAGCTCAGTTGCATGGAGAAGCTCCACCTCTGAGACGAGCCTGCTTTTCTCTCCCAAGCCCACTGGCTTTTGGGCATGGTGCACGGCCCATCTGTCTAGTTTGGTGTTTGCCTGACAGCGTGGGAGGAGCAGCAAGTAAGCACAGTCTTAGACATCATATGTTTAAAATGCTGTACTTTCTCCTTCATAGGGGGACCTAGAATCTCTGTGATGGGCCCACGTAACAACAACTTTTAGACCTATCAAGGTGAACTTTTGACGTTGCAGTTACCTGTTACTCCCCCAGAGAGCTACAGCAATGGACTGTAACACAAGTAACAGCTAGATCTCTTGGAGTCAACCTCTACTAATATCCTTCTACCCCGGCACCTACATCTCTGTGTGTGTGTGTGTGTGTGTGTGTGTGTGAGAGAGAGAGAGAGAGAGAGAGAGAGAGAGTGTGTGTGTGTGTGTGTGTGTGTGTGTGTGTGTGTGTGTGTGTGTGTGGAGGAGGGGGGCTGTAAGTGAGGTACAGAGAGCTGGAAGACCTGGCCCTAGACTCCAGCAATGTTTCACTTGGGGATCTTAGGCATCTTACCACTCCTCTGGGAAGGAGCTATCTGTGGTACTGAACCTACTGGAAATAGGTCTTTATAAAGACTACCATAGAGGAACCCCTTCTACAATGAAAGGGCAAAGCAACCTGGGATGAAGGATCCATACGCCTTGGAGCTCAAGAAGCACTGAGAGCACCCCAGTACATGCTGTGTATGAATTCAAACCCCTTCTCTCAGAGCAGCCCCAGCCCCCCTAGATAATATAACAGCCTGAAAGATGGCTATACCCTTTGACCCAGTAATCTCTCTTCTGAGACTTATCTGAATAAAATAACTTCAAACATGCCCTACATTTATGTGGAAAGATATTCATTTTAGTAGTGTTCATAAAAATTTAATGCGTCTTACATGTCAAATAATAGGGGACTATTTAAATAGGAGCTATGATATAGACCTACAGTGGAATACCAAATGGCCATTAGAATTACGTTATTGAGGATTATTTAGTGGTTCTGGAAAATTCCCATGACAGAATGTTAAGTGAAAAAAATCAAGAAAACTCTACTGGACTTGGTGTGCTTACAAGCCTCTAAGAATCAGGCATAGATAAAAGATCGGAAGGGAGGAAAGACATTAAAATTTTTAAATTATTTCTGCAGGAGATAGAATTATAGATGATTATCATTTTCTTCTATAAGCTTTTCTAATTTTCCCATTTTTTAAATTAATTAATTTATTTATTTTTGGCTGCAGTGGGTCTTCGTTGCTGCACGTGGGCTTTTTTTTTTAGTTGCGGTGAGCGGGGGCTACTCTTCATTGCCGTGCACGGGCCTCTCATTGCGGTGGCCTCTCTCATCGTGGAGCACCGGCTCTAGGTGCGCGGGCTCTAGAGCACAGGCTCAATAGTTGTGGCGCACGGGCCTAGCTGCTCTGCAGCATGTGGGATCTTCCCGAACCAGGGCTCAAACCCATGTCCCCTGCATTGGCAGGTGGATTCCTAACCACTGCGCCACCAGGGAAGCCCCCCATATTTTCTACAATAAACATGCGTAAAAGTTTAGCCCCCTTGGCTGATATCCCCTGACTGGAGGGCACATGGGCTGTGGAGGTCATCCCGAGCTGATCTGTCTGGCTTGGGGCTACAGTTAGGAGGCTTCCAAGGCTTCTGCCAGAAGATGACCTCACATTTTAAGCCAGCCAGCTCAGGGGCTCACCCACATGCTGCCAGCTTGCACAGTCTCGGCTCCCAGGGGTAATGGGTCAGTTGGGAGGGATGGCCTGGATTTTGAGGGGTAGTTGCAAGAGGCATGAACTCTGACAGTTACCCTCTGCCCGGTGCTCCCGCCTACCAGTTTCGGGGTCACACTGGTGTTCACAGGGGTCCAGGAGCCGCCGGGCACAAAGGTCCATGGCCCAGGGCCCACTGGAGTTCTGCTGAGAGAAGAGAACCACTTGGGCAGGGTTCAGCCAGTCGCTGGCATCCAGCTGGCTCCCCTCCAGCAAGATGAAGCGGCTCCCTGCAGGGGGAGAGAGAGGAGGCATGCCCGTGTGTGCCCACAGCACACACACACATTACTGAAGACAGGCTGAGCGATGCTCTGCAGATTAGCCCCCACCCGAGGTCATTACTTCTACCAATCCTGGCCCGCCACGAGCCACAGAGCAAGGGATCAGCGGATGGAGACTCGGCCAACACTTGGATCTCCCGCCATATCATCCCCTGCTGCCTTGTCCCATCCCATGTCTACTAGTGTGGACCCAAGGGATACAGGGACAGAGCAGCTCTGTGATGGCCGTGGCACGGCTCCATCAGACCCTGGCAGTCGTCCAAGGAACGGAGACCTGCTGCCTGTCTTCAGTTGCCATGAAAATAAATAGCAGGCCCTCTAACACTCCAGACAGTCCCCACCTGTTTTCAGCCTTACGGCAACCAAGAGAACAGACATTAACAAGTCAATTAGGTGCTCTGGGCTTAACTAATTCAGGGACTCTCAGAACGTACATTATTCCCTCATTATATCAGGGTCCCCCTGGATGAAAGTAAATTATTGCTTCAGAGTTCTAGGCTCATAGCAAGTTACTGCAATTAGGAATTTCTCACCAGGCATATCAAACGGAAACGTGGCTAACGCTTAAACATTCTACTACTCCACTTAGCTTTTCCCCATTCAAAGGCTAAGAGAATCTTGGTGTCTATGTACCTATAGCCAGTATGCCCTGCATTTATCCACAAAGACAGGTGCTTAATTAAAAACAAACAGAAATGGGAAATGGGCATAGAAAGGAGGAGGTGATCTGTTCTTTTTTTTTTTTTTAACCTGCTTTCTGATTTCATCAGTGGACAATCTAACTTTGTCCTAAGTCTTTCTTATCCAGCTTTATTTTTTCCTCACTAATAGGTAACAGGGCTCCCTGGCTTGTCTATATTTTCCCTGCCTACCCTGAAACATTCTTCTCGGGGGAGGGGCAGAGGTGGCATCCTCAGAGGTGGACTTACCATCAGCGATCAGGTGCTCGGGGACGTGCAGGGTGATTTTGACAACGAGAGGGCAGCTGACGTGAGAGGAACACACAAGACCGATCACGCAGCTGGTGATGCTGATCAATGTCAAGGTGGTCTTATTCACAGGACTTCGGGGAGAGCCCACTGAAAATAAGGCAAAAGCAAGACACTTGATGGGAAAAATCTTGGTAGTGAAGGGCCATCTCGGCCTTTTGCTGCCCAACCTGGAAAACAGGGGAGGCAGCTGGCAAACCCAGCCCAGGTGGGAAATGTGTCTAGTGCGTGAGCTCATTGGCTTTCACCCTCATGGAACACCATGTCATCGCCTGGTGTCAGAGGGGACTGGGCCACTGGTGGTCCTCAGAGTCAACAATGGCCAGCTGTGAGCAAGTCTTCTGCATGCCTCCTGGTCCAGGTCACAAGAGAAATCATAAAGGAGGGCACTGTCCCCCTCTACTCGCCTGGCAGGGCTGCAACCTCTTGCTCAAGGGTGGTGGGAATGCTTTTATCCTACGCTGGAACTCCCTGCACTTCCCATGGCTTTCCACAGAGGGCGCTCTCACCAACCAGCTTCTCCACTCCTGGGGTTCAAACTACCTCTCACCTACTCTGTGGGTGAGAGTCCAGGGCTTGGAAGGAGGAAAACAAGGAACGTCTGCTCTATACAAGTAGAAGATATTGTCACACCAGAAGGCTCTCCCCAGTCCTGCAGTCCTTGGGGTAAGGTTATAAATGGAAGCTTAGGGAGAAAATATGAAAGCTGAGGGATAAGAAACACTTCCAAGTAGCTGGGGACAGGGCTAAGAAGGGAGGTTTTGGGGGTGTTTGTTTGGTTTTGGTGGAGAGGACAAAATGGTAGTAAGAAGAGGGACCTTTCACATGGAAACAGAACAGATGTGGGAAAGCAAGAAAGCAAAGCAAGCTGCCGACAAAACGTATGAATACTTTGGAATTTTCTTACAGTCTGTGTTAATATTTATTATTGATAGCAATGAAAGGCATCTATTATGGCTGGCAACGTGCTAAGTGTTTTACATACACTATTTTAAATATTTGCTTCCTTACAATAAATCTATGAGTCTGTACAGTAACTACCCACTTCATAGATACGGAAAATAAGTCTCAAAGAGATTAACCTTATAGTGATAGTTAACACTTATGAGTAAGTGTAATTACCTGTCAGGCACCTTACACCTGACATATCAGGTGTCTTACGTGTCTCACACCTGGGCATATCATTTAACGATGACAGCATGATGAGGCAGCTCCCACAGAAACCGTGCGTTAGGGAGGCTATAGGGGCATGTCCAGGGTCAAGCAGCTACTAAGGAGGGGAGCTGGAATCAACACACAGATCCAGTGAGGCTACAGCCCCTAGACAATTCACTATTCAATCTCTGGGTCCAGTGGAGTCTTTGCAATTGCCGTTCTCAGGAACACGGGAAAAGATGTGGTCTATGGCTGCACACATCTTTTCTGCGAGCAGATCCCCTGAGTGGGTGTGTTGGCAATAGCTGGGAGGGAGTGATTGCAGGGTGGCAGGTGGCCTCTGGATCCCCTGTCCCTTGCTACCTGGAGATTTTCTATTCATGTTAGTACCCTTTCAACACGGAGTCTATTTCCCACACTTACACATTTCTTCCTCCAGCCCATACCAGGCCTGAGCAGCGCCCAGATCCGCCACCCGAACGGCCCTCAGGCACTCAAATGCGATATCCAAAACTGGGCTCTTCACCCTCCTTCCAACCCTGCTCCCCCTACCATTTCCACTGCCCAGCGAATGGCACCGCCTTCTACTTGGTTCCTCAGGCCCCCACATGCCATCATGTCTATCTCTTCCCTCTTTTTCATAAGTCACCCCCACCCCCCACCAATGCCATTAAATCTTTTTTCATTTTGTGCCCCAAATTTCTCTTGCTCCATCCTCTGCATCCCTACCTTGGTCTATCATCTCACCCCTGGACTATGGCAACAGCCATCCACCCAGTCTCCCTGCCTCAACTTCCCCCTGCTCTCACCTATCCTCCACGCTGCCTTAGAGGGATCATTCACGAAGCAGAGCAGACCAGGGCTTTGCTCTTTAAAAAACCCTCAATGACTCCAACTGAAGTGTCAGGTCTAAGTCCTTCAGTCAAAGAAGATCTCCTGATCTTCCAGCCTTATTTCCGAAGCAGACCACAGGCTGCCCCAGAAGCTTTATTCTAGTAAACTATTTCCTGCTCTCTGACTAGACAATTATTGTTTATGTCCCTGTGACTCTGCTCATACTATTTCCTCCTCCACAGAATGCCATTTTGTCACCTTGTCAGCCTGGTATACACCTACTCTTCAAGTCTCAGCTCAAACAATATCTCCCTGTAAACACTTCCCTGAAACCTTCAAGAACCGATTCTCACTCATTCCTTGCTGTTCCTCCCGCCCTTGTGCACCCTGCAGTTACAGCCCTTCTCACACAGTGTAGTCACTGTTTACAGGCACTTGCTCTCCTGTGATGGCAAAATGACTTGCTGCTCTGCCTCTTATCTCTCTGGTCCTTCTGCATCATCAACCCATCATCCAGAATCTCTACCTGACTTCAAAATTTCCAGTGGTCCCCTTTGACCTACAGAACCAAGTGCAAACCCATTAACATCGTGCGTGCACTCGTCCTCTAGCCTGTTATCCAGCCCCATCCCTCCTATCCCTGTGTGCCTACATATTCAAATCCTGGATTACAACTACCACATTGAACTCCTTTTACTTGCTTGAAAATGCCATGTTCTTTTGTGCCTTCAAGGCTTTGTATCTGCTTTATTCCTCTACTGAAATGCCCTTCCCCTAGATCTTCCTCTTTCAAGAAATTCTATGCATTGTATATAATCCAAGTCTAATTATTTTCTCCCTTTTTGCCTCCTTTTGCTGCCAGGTAGAATTAACTGTTCTCTCTTCTGAGTACTCATTTTACTTTATTTATATTATTAAATTAAGTCTTATCACTGTGCCATGTTTTCATGTTTCTACTACTGATCACAAAGCCTGACCCATGACAGGTGGGTTATAAAATTTCCTGCTGGCCTGACTGATGTATCCCGTTCAATTCAACAAACACTGGCAAGCATCTATTATAGGCAAAATCCCTCACTAGGCACTTTGGAAAAATAAATTAGACATGCCCATCCGTAAGAAGCTTACAGTCTAGTTAAAAGCAATAAACAGTTGATGCACTAGGAGAACTTGGTATTTAAAAGTAACAATTTTATGTTGCAAAGGAACTCATTCTAATTCATTACTATAGATTTTCTTACACGGGATTTTATTAAAGCAGAGCCCACCCTGCTTTGCTGTGGCCTAGGGTGGATGGGCCTAGGACGACTCTCTGCTGTATATAAATATGTAATGAGCATCAAGAGTCACCTCAGGGATACTGGGGCACCAGACATTAGGCAACCCAGAGCCCCACTGATCTCTTGAGAAAAGTGGTGGGAAGAACTTCTGTACTGAGTGCTCTCAGAACTGGAAGAACTGGACAGAACTCACAGCCTGCAGAACTGGAACTGAGGAATTAACATGGCTTCCTTCAATCTCTGGGAAGAATTCCTCAGTATGTCAAGAACTCGGATGGAGGTGGGAGAGAGCCAAAAGGTAGGTGTCTTTTGGGGGCGGCACTGGTTGATTATTGGCTGGGGAAAATGTTATTGACTATCACACAAGATGACATCACTCAAATATCCTCCATTGTATCTCGAGGGGCCCCTGTCTAAAATTCTTTACGATGAAGTGCTGTAGAAACCCAACGCTGCACTGTGGAGAGTTCTAACAGCAACACAATAGAGATCTCATAGTGCCTTGCCAATCACCAAAAAGGCACATTTTAATATAATTAAGCCCTATGCGTGAGGTATTGTTAACCCATTTAATATGTGAGGAAACTGAGGCTCAGAGAAGTCGTCTTTATCCAGTATCACACAGCAAGTAAACGCTGAAGCTTTGGTGCCTGAACACAGACCTCCCTCAGTAACGATGGTGAGACCACGAAGTCATAGGCACTGGCAGCCACAGCTGCAATAGCCATGCCTGAAGCCACTGAACATCGGGGTGGAGAGTCACAGACCATGGCTGCGTGAAAGGACAACTCTGTCAACACTGAGAAGAATGAACAAACCAACCTGGGCCCTGCTAGGAGAAGGGAGGGGACCTGGGCCCTGGGAGTCCTGTGATTCTGCTGGGCAGGGGATTAAAGGTCAAAAACCACTACACATGTTTTTCAGGCCACAGATCGTTCCTCAACTACCCCACCCCCCAAGCTCTGCCTCACTCAATCCCAGGATGGCTGGGTAAGCGAGGGTAAATATACTGTCCATTTTTTCACATATAACACACTTTATCAACTTTATTTCCTGTGTCTAAACAGCAAAATATGACTCCCGAGGCTTCCAGAAGGAATTGAGAGTCTTCTGACCAAGAAATAGCCTTTCAAACAACTTGGAAACTTGTTTGAGAGTGCCATTATCTGGGAGAGATGATTCTCTGAAATTTTCCACTCTAGGCTCTTCTTTCTTCCTTAGGAGGAAACACCAAGTTTGGTCCAAGAATTCTTCCTGCGGACACTGGCTTTGGTCCACAGAGCCCCCTCCCTGACCCAGCACCTCTGTAGCTCCCTGCCTTCCCCGCCCCATGGCCCCTCTCACCCCACTTTGCCCCTCTATCCTTCCTACCTCTACTGCGCCTTCGGCTCCGCGAGGGGTCAGTGTAAAAGGTCAGCTGGGGGTCATTTTCTGCCTCTGTGCTAGAATCCCCTTCAGGGTTCAGGAAGGCGGAACCAGCTGTAATGAAAACACAAGGGCAAAAACAAGTGTCTTCAGTTTTGTCTTCATGACACCAAATCACTGGGTGGGCAAGTTCAAGGGGAAAACACGAGCAGGGTGACTGACAATCTGGGAGGAGTAGCCACAGGGATTGGAGCTTCCTGATACACAGATTTATTGGAGAAGGAGACCTCGATATGACAGCCATCACTAGAGCCCTACATCCACCCAGCCCATGCTCCTACTGAGGAGAGCCACCTGCCAGAGAGGACCATCGTGGACGGTACGTGGAAAAGGAAGAAAGGGAAATTTCCCTCATTACACGTCATGATTCTGGTTGATAGAGGCTGGAATTATGTCCTAAGGGGCATATGTCTGTATGTCTTAATGTCTATATTGTATTTTTTAACTGGTTCTAGGATTAATATATATTCAATGTGAAAAAGAGAGAAAAGAATAAACAAAAGACCCCCACATGTTTAAAAGGAACAACGCTGATGTCCTCTAAATCCTCCAAGTCAGAGAAAGACTCTGTTAACATTTGATGAATACACTCTCCATCTTTTTCCTGATACAGAAGCAGATAAAGGTTTTTTAAGTTCCCCTTAAAAATGGCATTCTGCTGTACCTTCTATTTTATAACCTCATTTTTCCCCATTGAATAGATGGGTGGGCAACTTTCCATATGAACAAATATAGATCTATAGTATCATCTTAAGCCACTGGACGGGAGACAGATGTGCAGGTAGTTAAGCAATTCCCCATTGATTGACATTTAAGCTACTTCCAATTTTTTGCTCTTTTAAACAGTGTTGGGATGAACAGCCTTTTACACACATCTTTGCATACTTGTTCAATTATTATTTACTAAGGATAAATTCTCATTCCTAAAATTACTTGGTCAAAAGGTGTGTATACATTTAAATTTGTTGGTTAAGTAACACACAACAGGCCTGTAGAAAGACTGCGACCAAACACAGCCCCTCTAGCGATGCCTGAGAGTGGGGGGGTCAAGGATATTAACGGCCCTGCCTCTGCTGGTATTAAGGAAGCCACCTTCAAGCCCTAACACCAGACGCGGGTACCTCTTGCTTTGTTGTTGATCCTCTTTCTCTGGCTACTGGAGGTGTGAGAAAGCAGAGTGGCCTGCTGGTGGTTGGAGTCCACGGGGCTGGTAGCAATGATGTTATCTTTATACTTGTTCATCAGCGACAGCTTGGCATTGTCGCTTCCTGTATAAGGAAAGGCCAAGGCAGAAACTTTAAAAGGCCAAAGAAAGTGAGAGCAAGGAAATCTGCATGAACCAAGTACATGGGGTTTCACAGAAACTTAAATATGAAAGCTTTAAAGTGAGAGACTGGCAGAGACTGAAATGCTTCTTTTTGATTTCTAGGGGACTACAGAGTTATGAGAGAAGGGGTGAAGAAAGGAAATCCAATTCAACCAATTCTGTATTGATAGGGTCACCACGTGTGGCCGTTCGGTGAGATACAGACTGCAGATTTCTTTCCTTTGGTCAGCACAGAGTTTCACAGAAATTTGAATTTGAGCGCATTCAGGCGGAACCTGCCCCCTCTCTTTCATCCCAGTCTGCTCCGTTCCCTGTTGTTGACATCCAGCTCTCTCACATATTTGTGCTATCTGCCTGCTCCCTGAGTCTCTAATCATATGGCTACTTGGTGGGCTTAGCACTATGGCAGGTGCTGTGGAATACATGAGATATTGAAGACACATCCCCTAGTCTCAAGGAATGTCTAGACTTTAAACCTTATTAAGACATGCCTAGTCATAGGATCTTCTCTAGATAACAAGCAGAATGGAAACCTCTATGATGTGATTTCAAGCCCCACAGAAAGTCCACATATCTTAAGCAATATTCAGTTTCAAAAATGTCTTCTTCAAAGATAATTGGGCAGTTCCTTGAAGGATCATTGTCTTGGGGTTTTATCTACAGATAGTTGTTATTTATAGAAGTATGAGAGATAGGCTATAAATGAAAAGTACAGTCATTTCCTCTCTGCATTTTACCGACTCTGGTCTTGTTCAGCCACATTAGATCCAAGTCTCTTCCACCCAGTGTCTCATAGATGCACAAAGCATCTGAGGTCAAACAGTTTGATCGTATTCCTTTATTTTCTTTGAAGAAGTACATCCCTTTTAAAGACCACAGAGGTATGGGCAACACAACACAACTAAAACACCCCAGGCCAAAGTGTCAGGAATCATAGAAAAGAAAGATACCTCTGTCCCCTCCACTTCAATGGAAAATTAAATTGCCCGCACAAACATACCATATACAAAAATGTCACACACACACGCTGATCTTTTCTGCTACACCCCTATTTTCCCGAGCATTGCTCATTATATATGAAAAAGCCTCTAACCCACTCTTCTGTGGGATGTAAAAGTACCTCTACTTCCAGTGCAAAGTGGAAGTGGAGAGGGATCCAAGTTACCCTTGTTCTTCTGATTTCGTATATTAGAAAACGGCTCCCATCATCTCAGGAAAATGCTTACGCTTCTTGCCCACCTGGGAAAGGGCACTGGCACATCCCATTATGTATGACAACCAGCCATGAAATTAGAAAACAGCTGTTCCCTACCCACTCTCTAGTGCCCTGAGACAAGGACCGAGGCACCCACCTGGCGTGAGGTCCATCCCTGCCTTCTCGTTGCAGCCCTGCAGGGAGTCGAGGGTGCGGGTAACCTGGCTGGCAAAGTCCTCCCCTCCGTTCATGCACTCCCTCTGCAGGTGGTGGCGCAGGTCAGTGATGTCGTACTCGTAGCCATCCAGGATGGGTGTCTCCCGGATGCTCAGGGTGCCGCTGGAGTTGTGGCCCTGCACGCGGGCATTGCGCAGACTCTCCCGCCCGTGCCCGCCGATCAGCACAGAAGGAATGTAGTGAATCTCATTGGCAGCCTCAGCGCTGGCACTCTTCTGGGGCTGGGGGACCCGGCGGCGCTTGCACCAGCGCCGGCGAGTGTACAGGATCATCACGAGGCACAAGATGGACAGCAACAGCGCTATCATGCCACCCTAGGAAGAGAGGACAGCAGGTGGATGCAGGAAGATGGGTGAGCTCATCCCACCAAGGGGTCTCACCCCTCCCGCTGTTACCATCCATCACTCACCCATTAATTCATTCATTCACTTAGGTGCAGTAAGTGCTTATAGCAAGCATCACTCAGCAGTAAAGGGACAGTGTGCTGTGATCGGTGATCAGGGTGAAAGAAAAATGGAACTGGGATGATTAGTGCATCATTTCAAGTGATCCACGGTTGCTTCTGGCTTAGCAAACACTTTGAAGAAGAAAGAAGTCTTTGTGATTGTGTGTGTGTGTGTGTGTAATTTCAGCTGCAGAAATAAGAGAGAGGGTTTTTTAAGGCAGATCTGCTATATGTAAAGCTGGTTTCAGGCCAATTTTTAGCAGTGGGATGGCATCTGGTTTCTTCCTCTTTCATATCTTAAAATCAATCATATATAGATTCTAACTCTGCCTCCACCAACCATCAGCAAGTCCTATAAATTCGAGACCTCAGATTCTGTATAAGAGAGAAGATACTACAGATTCCTCATCTGTATAATGGAAAAGATACCACTTACCCTCACAGGGCAGTGTAAGTACTAAGTTAGGTAACTATGTAACACATCTAATAGATTGTATCACAGGGAGTCAAGGCTGTCAGCCTAACCTTAAATGTCTCCATCAGAGTAATTGCCCGAGCAGGAGAAAACCAGAGACCCATCCGAAGAGAAGTTTACATCCGTCAGGAACTTACAACCAAGTGTGCAGAGAAATCTCATCATTTGAACATGACTTTTGGGGTTACTGCTGCTTTAGGAGACAGCCTTCTCCCACTCACACAGTCCTGAGTGATGTTCCCATTCTTGCTAAGCTCAAGAGAAGGGACTGAGACCCATGTTGTCCTGGACTCAGGCTGGCAGCGGAGTTTCCTTCTGAACCTTCTGGTGCTCCAAGGCCATCCTCTGAGGCCATTACTTAAAAGCCTGAACACAACTAAGCTGCCCGTCAGAGATGAGGATGCAGTGCTCAGCGAGGCTGAATGCCTCGCCTTAACGTGTGCCCAGGGCAGTGTTTCGAGGGAAGGGCTTACAAGCTCATTGCTGCACAGCACTCAGTGGGCATAAATCTTCCCCTGCACAGTCTGTATTCACTCCCTTTATGTTGGTCAATACCTCTTGGAACCTATTTCATTAGGTGGGCATGTGCCAAATGGTTCTGCTCTCAATCTTGGGCTACAATCACTGTCACCCCATCATATAGGCTAGAGGTGAAAACCCTCTATTAATTTCCAGGGGCTCGCCCACACAAGGCTGGGTCAAGATGATTCCCTTGAGTATATTAGAGGGGGCTTTTTCCAGTCTCATAATAATTATATCTTAGATTTATAAAGTTCCGCTCCCTGTAAATTTTCCCATTTATCCTCCCTCTCCCACCATCACTGTGAGCACGTGCGCACGCACTCACACACAGGATGCTGCTGCTTTCCAACAGGCAGCTCAGAGGAGCTGAGACAAGAAGTAACCGAGTCAGCTGTCAAGTGACCTGTCATGTCGGGTGGCTTTTTGGAGACATACGCTGGCCTCCAGGTTTTCAAATTTTTCTTTTATCCGCATAACCCTTTCTCCTGGTGAAATCTCTCAAGCAAGTACAGAGAAAGCATGAATATGAAGCTGCTCAGGTTACAGTGGGGGTGGGAGTCCAGAGCCAAGCATTCTAGGTCCCTGATAAGTGCCGCCCCTGCCGTCCATGGTCCCTCCCTCCTGGCCGCCCTGCAGGTGTGCACAGAGAGTCCCTGGGGCACCTCAACAGGGCAGACCTGAGCCCTGCACCCGTTTGCTGAGGATGAGTGTTTGAGTCCAACCCAGTGGTTTTTCGGCAGACCCTTTATCTCAGAGTCAGACCCACTAACTTTCCTTCATCCCAAACTGAAACTGCAAAAATAGGTAATTAAGCCACACAGAAAGAATAACTTCCCGAGCCAGGGAAGATGTCAGACATTGAATTAGGCAAGTGAAAGCTCGAGGTAATTTTATTCCCTAAAGAGCTGTAAGGGGAGCATAAACATCCATCTCCCGGGAATGGTTTAAGCACCATCCTTCCTGCTCAGAGAGAGGTCTTCAGGCGCCCCTTCCACTCTTCCTTTCTGATTCTCCTTTCAGTTGCTCACAACGGGGTTGTGATAAGATCCAGGCCATAGGTTCATGCCCCTTATTACACAGGAATAAAGCAACGACAGTGGTCTGTTAATGGGGCTTTTACTTTGTATCAGACATTTGCCCCAAATGCTCTACACTCTGAGAGGTAGGGTCAACTATTTCCCCATTTCACATTTGAAAAGGCTAGGGCACAGAGGCCGAATAACTTGTCCAAGGTCACACAGCAAATGAATCCTAGGACTGGAATGGGGCCAAAATGACTCCCACTCCAGAGCCTACCTTCTTAACTACTAGGCTGCAGTCACCCCGAGTGAGCTTCGCTCACTGGAGACATATACACCCTGGCATCTATCTCATGAATTTTAAAAGGACAGAGTAGGAGAATATGGGTAATTCCACCTGAATCCATCCTCACCTTTCGAAGGAAAAAGAGAAACTACTCAAAGTGCACATATAGCTGACAAAGAGACACTATCGTAAACAAAGGACCTTGCACCAAGCACCCACTCAAGCGTCCTACTCAAGGTTAGTAGGCAGGGCAAAGACAGCAGATGCATTTCAAGGTCTCTGTGCTAAAATAAGACTGTGCCTCACACACCACTACATGCCTGGAGGATACCATTAGACTCTCAGTTTAGTTGAATTTCGACAGAGAAATCTGTGTTCCCTCTCAACTGTGAGATCCAGTGAAAATCTTTAGACTCAGCCCCTCCTCTTCTGAAGAAATGAAGGCCCAGAGAAACTACAAAACTAGACAGCGTAGAACCGGTTCTACACCCAGATCCTCTTCCACTGCTCTTTTCAGGGTACGGTTTTGTTAGGTTCATCTAAAGTCCCCTTTACCATGTAGGGGCGTAGACACTCAATTAGCAATATTTTATGCTAATTTTTTTAAAAAAATAACAACTCATAGGGAGCTAGAATAGAAGTTTTTGTTTGGCTAAGCCAGTTCATTTAGCAGCTCTTATTGCTTTAGCAAAACATTCCCTCTGCTTAGAGTCACTGACTCCAGACGATCTCAGTTTTTTAATAATCAGTTACCAATAATGAGCTCCAGCCATCAGGTGAAACAGCACAGGCATATGAAGAAACATTCTCAGGCACTCAAACTGTGGAATAGTCTCTCTGCTTCTATAACCCAAAATGATGGCAGATGTCACAACACTTTGTTATGGCTTACTAGTTGTGGACTACTATCGAAATAATAATATACATAAGTTATATGATATTAATTTGTAATATTATTTAATAATAATAATATGTTATAATAATAATTTGTAAAATCACTACACACAAATACCTCTGGACTGCTTATCTGCTCTATCCAGTGAGGAGGGAGTAGGTAGGGGAACTTTGTGTATAGGGCCTCCACTATACTGGGAAAAGGCATGGGTGTAGCGACTTTGATAATGTTCCGTCTATGGTGAGGACTCAAATCCAGTGCTCAAATTCGATTGCTTTTGCATTCCTGTGATAAACCACCGTTCTTTGATGTTACCATTACTTTTAACCCTTCTACTTCCATTGGAGATTTTAAGCAGTTCCAGTGAAACTCACAGAGGCTCTAGGATTTTTCTTTCAAATAACCTAATGAAACCAAGAGGTGGCAGATGAATGGAAAGAAAGCCTAGGCCAAGAAGGGCTAGGAGCTTCCTAATAATCAAGTGAAAAGAGCAAGGCAAGTTCTTGTCTGACAAAAGAAAATTTGTTGGTAAACTTATAGTTGCCAAAGGGGAAAGGGGGGGAGTGATAAACTAAGAGTTTGGGATTAGCAGATACAAACTACTATATATAAAACAGATAAACAACAAGGTCCTACTGTATAGCATAGGGAACTATATTCAATATCTTATAATAACCTATAATGGGAGAGAATCTGAAATAATATATACTCAACTGAATCTCTTTACTACACCTGAAACTAACACAACATTGTAAACCAACTATATTTAGTAAAAAAAAAAGAAAAGAAAGTTTGTTGGAAGGAACAAACTTCCTCTAAGCATTCAACCCCATTCAAATAGACTTCCACCTGGCATGTGAACGTGAGCATACTGACAAACGCAGTGGGCAATGTGATCTCCCAGGCTTTACAGAAGTGCACAGGAGCTCTTCCTACACCTACACCTTGCTTTGAGCTTCTGCATTACCCTAGCTGCGTTCAGAGTATGTGCTTCATTTATGTGTTAACTTGAATTTTTATGGCAAAACAAAACAAACAGAAAACCCATTAAGGTACATCTGGACCCAAGTGAGAAGTAACAAAATGCAAACTTTGAACATTAAAAAAATAACACTGACAGCAAGACATGTAATTTTTTGCTCTTTATTCATCTTTTCATGAGTTTTCTGATTATTCTATTGATTTTCGTCAAAACTGTTAAAATTTTTGTATCTACAAGTATGTTTGGGGTATATGAAATCTCCACATCTATTAATAAGATGCTTGCAAAAAGTGGTATTTAAAAATATTTTTTTCTTTAAAAAAATCAATAAATCATTTCTGCTGGCTTTAACAGAGATCAAACAAATGAAATCAGCTTTTATTTTCTCATGAAACTGACATTTTGGGCACCTACCTGAGAGAGTAGTATGAGGTTTGTCAGATAATTTGCAGATTTTGTAATATTTATGTAACAATGTTTTATATAGCACTGATGGTGATTGTTCAGGGATAGAAAGTTCTAGGCAGATTTCCCTTTTATGCTCATCCCAGTCATGCAGGCCAACCACAAGACTGCCTCATTATCTGACCTGTGTATTCATCCTGGGTCTGGGTCATTCCTCACTCCCTTAGCTAACCCTTACTTGTCCTTTGAAGTCAGTTCAGTGACATAACCTCAGCCAATTCTTCC